GTTTATAAAGCACAGCCTTGTTTTGTTTCTGCTTTAAAGACCACTCCTGTCACACACACACACACACACACACACACACACACACACACACATTTGTTTAGGGTTTTGTCTGTGTTACTTCCTGTTTCTCCTAGGCTAGGTGTTGGTCCTGCCGCCCAACCCCACTTCACGTCTTTTGCTTTCCAGAGAATCTCCTCCTTCCTTCTTTCAACTTAAGCTTCTTCCTGAGCTCGCAGAAGGGGTCAGCCACATAAAGGAGCAAAGCCCAGACTCTCCCCCTCCCCATGCTATTTTCTGCCTGTCTTGGGTACTCCTGGGTTTAGGAAAAGTGGCAGTGTATAGATTATGGGTAGCACCAACCTCAACCTCCATCCAATCCCAGGAGCAGGCTGGGAAGCCTGTTCATTAGCTTCATCCCATCCTCTCCTGATCTTTCAGAGGCTCACTGGAGTGGGCTGAGCCACCTGGCATCCTGTAGCTCTGTGCCCTCTCTCATTGTTACAGCTAATCAGGATTCTTGGAATTCTAGCTTCCATACTGTTGCTGTACCCAAGTTATTGTACTGGCCTTTACTTTCAGTTCCCTAAAAACCAATCCAAACAAACAAAAATTTTCTTAGGTTTTGAGGGGAGTAAGAATGAGGGGTGGGGTGGTTCTCAGAGACCAGAGAGGGCATCAGATCTCCTGGGGCTGGAGTCATAGGTAGTTTTGAGCCTCCCAACATAGGTACTTGGAACCAAACTCAGTTCCTCTGCAAAAGCAGCAAGCATTTAGCTGCTGAGCCATCTCTCCAGTTCCCAATCCAGTCTCTTTCTTCAAACCTCTTCATTACCCTCTTTGAATTGGGCACCTCTGTTGCTCCAGTGTTAAGACTACCTATTTTGTTCCTTTCCTAGGTGCTATTTGTACAGTAAATTATTGCTTATTTCTTATTAGCAACAATGAAAATGGTAGAACTGGAGCTTATTAAGAAGAGAAACAAAGGGGCTAGAGTTTGGACACTGTGCTGGACAGTTTTGTATCAACTTGACAAGCTAGAGTCATCTGAAGGGAGAGAACCTCAATCAAGAAAACACCTCCATAAGATCAGGCTGAAGGCAAGCCTGTAGGGCAATTTTAAATTAGAGATTGATGGGGGAAAGGTCCACCCTGGAGGGTGCTGACCTTAGGCTAGTGGTCCTGGGTTCTATAGAAAGCATGCCTTTAATTCCAGCACACTGCAGGCAGAGGCAGGTGAATCTCTGTGAATTTGAGGCCACCCTAGTTTACAGAGCTAGTTCTGGTACAGCCAAGGTTACACAGAGCAGCTCTGCCGGTGGAGGAAAAGGAGAAGGAGGAGAAGAAGGAGGAAGAGGAGGAGGAGGAGGAGGAGGAGGAGGAGGAGGAGGAGGAGGAGGAGGAGGAGGAGGGGGAAGGAAGGAAGGAAGGAAGGAAGGAAGGAAGGAAGGAAGGAAGGGGAGGAAGAAAAAGAAGGAGAAGTAGAAGGAGGAGAAGAAGAACACGAAGAACAAGAACAAGAAGAGAAAGAAAGAAGAGAGAGATAAAGGAAGGGAGAGAAGGAGAGAAAGAAGGGAATGAAGAAAGGAATAAGAAAGCAGGCTGAGCAAGCCATGGGTGGCAAACATGTAAGCAACACCCCTCCATGGCCTGTGCATCAGCTCCTGTCTCCAGGCTCCTGCCCTGTTTGAATTCTTGTCCTGACTTCCTTCAGTGAAAAACTACAACATGAAAGTATAAATGGTAAACTTTCCTCCCCAACTTGCTTTTTGGTCAAGGTGTTTCATCGAAGCAACAGAAATCCTGACTAAGACAGATGAGATGCAGGCTCCATCAGCTCCTGTTTACCACCCAGGGCTGGCCTTCTGTGTGACATATGCTATTCTCCTTCCTTGCTACAACTTTGAAAACATTGGATGGTGGCTGGCACTTTCTGTTCTAGGCTCTGTGTCATTGATCCTTCCACTGTCCCTCCTGTAGCACCGTGTCCTGATCCTTCTCCTCCATGGCTGTTGGATATGTTTGTGTAATTGTTGGTCCCGTTGTCAACTTGACTAGATTGAGGGATAGCTAGTGGATTAGAAGGGCACATGTCCCCTTCTATACTTAGAGAAGGGAGGAGATGTCAGGGGCAGCCCTGCTTACACACTGAAGGCCTAAAACCAGCCATAGGCCTAAAATCAGCAATAGGCCTGTCATACATGTATACTAACACCAAGTCTTGGGTCTCAGTGAAAAAACATTGAAACAGACGGCTTTAAGCTATTGTAAACAGGCAGCCTTTGTGGAAATTTACCAGCCTGAGTAGTCATAGACTTTGTAAATAGGTAGTCTTGTCAGACAACACCAACTTAGGTAAGGACAAGTGAGTCATAGGCAGGGTCATAGTGACCTGTCCCCTGAACCTTCACCCAGCCGATACCTGGTTCTGAAGACATCTGTATTCCCCCTGAAGATATCTGTATTCACCCACACTCCAGTGTCATCCACTTCCCCACATCCTGCCTTTCTGTGTTTATAACCCCTTTGTGAATGAATTACGATTTGAGAAAAAATAAATTATAAAAAAAAAGAAGGGCACGTGTCTGTGATAGTGTTTCCTGAAACAATCTGATAATGAAGATCTGAGATACTAAACAGATTAATTCCGTGATCAAATTATAATCAGAGAATATATTGAGAGGTGGTGAAAGTGGGGGTGGTATCTAGTTGGAGTAACTAAATCCCTTGGGGTATCCCTGGGGTCTGTATATACCTGTATCCCACCTCTCTTCCTGCTTCCCAACTTCCACAATGATGTGAGCTGTCTTTAGAGGACTGAGTCCTCTAAAAATGTTGGCCAAAATACATAGTCCCTCGAAATTGCTTCCCAGGTATTTTGTCCTGGCTATAAGAGAAGTAGTTAATATAGGACCTTTGCTTCAGTTTTGTTGACATTATTTCATCTTTAAGGGGAAAAAATCCTATCTATAAACAAAGTGTGAACCAGGGCCTTGACCAGCTAGAGAACTAGACCTCCTTCCCCAAAGACCAACCACTGTCAGGTACCACAACTGACTCAAGGTGTCTGGAGGGAAGGCAGGGAGTGGAGAGGGAGTTTCCTGCTGCAGTGCAAGCTCACATCCCCCTGCTGTCTCCTCCATTAAACACTTCCACTTTCCAGTTTTTATTTTGCTTTTTCACTTCTATTTCCAGCTTTATGGCTAGAAGATAATTCAACCATTACAAACTAATTGTCACAGAACCTGTGGCAGAGGACAGGCTCATGAGAGCTGAGTCCCTCTCCTGAGTCTCCCCTTTTCACCCTTAGGTGCTGAGGGCCACAAAGCCATTTATTTTACTGCCACTGTGAACCTCAAATTATGGAATTCAGGCAAAGTTGAGGGTCTGGGGGGGTGAGTTTCACGCCTGTAAGTGTAAAGCAATTGACGGTGGCCTCAGGATGGAGATCTGACCCTTCCCTACCCATCCTCCTTTCTTCCTTCTCTCTTCAGTTAATTAACTCTTTTCTTTCACCACAGATTACAAAACTGAAATGAAGAAATTCACATTCTCAGCAGGAAAGCCTAAAGCCAGAGGCGGCGCTCTCTCGCATTGCACAACTGCCTTAGAAGCATTGTGGAAAGACGGCTATGTGCACATGGCTTTTGACACAACTTCTGGGGTGAAGCAAAACCTACACTTTATTTAGAGGGCTCAACTATCTTTTGTGTCCGTGTCTAAACTTCGTAGCCTAGGGAGTCTTTTATTGACGGTTCAAAAGTAGTTTGTTACAGGAAGCGAGTCAGTGGATAGTCTAATCGCTGTGAGTCTCAGCTTGAACAATTTTAATGAATGAATGAAAGGGGAATTTCTGAAACCAGAGCTCTAGAAAGGAAGCTCACCTTCTCAGGGTTCTGTGGCTAATTCTTTCAGACTGAGTTAGAACAGCAGGCAACTTTTGAGGTAACCTGGTCCGAGTAAAGGATTTTCCCGTTTGTAAAGCAGAATTATTGCTTGACTCCTAATACAAGGCTGGCTCTTTTGTAAGCCCTACCTTCTACTTCCTGTGAGGCCATGGCTCCTTTAGACATTTGCATACAGTGTTTAATACAACTCTAGTATAAAAGCTGAGAGTCCTTTATAGATAAGAAGGGAGGACCTCGGTGTAAAACGTTACAGAATACTGTTCTCCAAGAAGGACGTGACTGGCACCGTCTTAAAATCAGAACGGCTATGATGCCCGCTGTCGTTAAAAGACTGGACGTTAAAACTTAAAACATCCCTTCACGGAGATGTGGGAGGAATCAGAAAGAGACATGTGAGGCCTCATGCTTCCCCAACATCTATAAGCAGTTAACAGTCTCCAGGGGAGGAGGTGGCACCCACTTCAGTGGTATAACTGCCTGTTAGTTGCCCCCGCCCCTGGAAGTACCCCCTTACTCAAAGACCTAGAAGAAATCACAATTAAAGTCACCAATTAAGTGAAGTCAACTTGAGTGGAATTGTTTCCTGTGTGTCACAAGTGTCCTAGTTGATTCAGAGATGTTTGTTCAGATTGCTCCGGGTTTATTACATTGTAACTTTGTTTTGTTTTTTGTTAAGGGATGGTCTCACATCTAGGTAGCCTGAAACTCTCTAGGTAGACCAAGCTGATTTATAACAATCCTCTTACCAGAGTCATTCAAACATATCAATGCTATTGTATAATTCTACTACAGCATAATGAGTGCCCAGCTTACAGTTAAACAGAATATGGAGAAATGTGGATGACTTCAAAAAAGCAGATAGGAAAAAGTGTAAAGTTGGGAAAACCCCAACAAAAGTGACTTTTTATTCACCATTGAAGGTGAGCTACCTTGCAGGAAAGAACAGGTACAGTAACTCACGAGGCAGGACCGTATATGTCAACGAAATTCCTTCCAAATACTGGATTTCACGACTCAGAAAGACCAACTAGGTAAAAACAGTGACTCTCTCTCGAGCAGCAGTTGCTCTTGAGAGCCGCTAAGCCTCTGCACTCTTCATATAATCCCGAACTGAGCAAGCTCATGCAGTTCCAGGTGGCTGAACGCTTCCCAGGGACAGATCACCGTGATATCTGCAAGAGACAGAAGAAAACCTCAGGCAACTGCTCACCAGGAGGAGAAGCCTCTCCCGTAAAAACACCCTCTAAACGGTTACACTTCTCCAAGCTCCATTCCTGGGGAGGCGTGAGGAATGATCCCACAGGCCGAGAGGATGCGAGCAAGCACATAACTGGCACAGATACACACGCTCACGCTCGCACACGCACACGCACAGGAACACACAGCAATTTTTTTCATGAATACTAATACTTGAAAGAAATCAAGATGCCCTTCAATAGACTACCCATAAAACGAAATGAGCTACTGTGGCTGGCGAGATATTTCAGTGGTTAAGAGCACTGGCTTCTCTTTCAGAGATCCTGGGTCCAGTTCCCAGCACCCACATGGCTGCTCACACCAGTCTGTAATTCCAGTTCAAGATTATCTGACCACTTATTTTGGCTTCCAATGGCACCAGGCACACACATATATAAATGTAGACAAGTAAGCATGCACATAAAAGGAAAATAAATAAAAGAAACGTACAATTGAACCATAAGAAGAGACTTAAATTATATTGCTAAATGGGAAAAGGCAGGATAGGAAAGCATGGTACTGTATTGTTCTAACTCAATAACGTCTCAGAAAATGTGAATGTAAGACCCAGTTAAAAGTCTTGTGGTGTTGGTGGTGGGGTGGGAGGGGGATGGCTGGGGAAGGAAGGCGTTACCAGGTGGAGGTGAGGGAATGTTTAGGATGATGAAATCAATCTATATGGCACAATAATGACGGTTGCACAACCTTGCACAAGCATAAAAACCCTTAGAACCATATGGCTCCAATGAGCCTCAAGCTATATGTGCTATGGACTTTTGTTAAGACGCCAAGAATGATTGACAGATAGCGGCTCAGCACACTTGATGGATGTGCCAGACTCGTGCACTGTGTTAATTACGGGGAACTGGGGAAAGGCAGGAGCGATGGTGACAGGAATTCTGTGGGCTTTCTGCTAAATTCTTCTAGAAATCTAAAAGCTCTTTTTAAAAAAAGCTGTTAATATTTTTAAGCCATTGTCATTATCTACTGAAGTAAAATAGTCCAGCCAACTAAAAAGGTTGTATCAGATACATTCAATGTATGCACCCCTGTTTCTGATATGTCCAAGTGTGCACCCCTGTTCCTGATGCTGTGTGCACTCCTGTTCCTGATGCTGTGTGCACTCCTGTTCCTGGTGCTATGTGCACCTCTGTTCCTGGTACTGTGCCCACCCCGTCTCTGATGTTGTGTGCACCCCTGTTCCTGATGCTATGTGCACCCCTGTTCCTGGTGCTGTGTGCACCCCTGTTCCTGGTGCTGTGTGCACCCCTGTTCTTGATGCTGTGTGTACCCCTGTTCCTGATGCTGTGTCCACCCCTGTTCCTGATGCTATGTGCACCCTGATCCTGATGTTGTGTGCACCCCTGTTCCTGATTCTCTGTGCACCCCTGTTCCTGGTGCTGTGTGCACCCCTGTTCCTGATGCTATGTGCACCCCTGTTCCTGGTGCTGTATGCACCCCTGTTCCTGGTGCTGTGTGCACCCCTGTCCCTGATGCTATGTACACCCCAGTTCCTGATGATCTGTGCACCCCTGTTCTTGGTGCTGTTTGCATCCCTGTTCCTGATGCTGTGTGTACCCCTGTTCTTGATGCTGTGTGCACCCCTGTTCCTGATGCTATGTGCACCCTGATCCTGGTGCTGTGTGCACCCCTGTCCTTGGTGCCATGGGACGTGAAGAAGAGGAAGTTGGCGAGTAGTGGGTCCCTGGACAGAGTGGAAGAGCACTCTAGACCCTGTCTTTTTTTCCAGTTCCTCACGCTGTGGTTTCACGCTGGTATTCAGTCTGCCTCATATTCCTCTTCTGAAAAATGAAGTTGGACTGGATCAATTGTAAGCATGCTACACTTCACAAGCCCACTGCCGGCTGCAGCATGCACTCACGGGTGTTTAATAAACCAACAGAAATCATTACCCCAGGCTTAGTTTCGTTTCTTTCATCATTGTTGCACCTCGGTACACACAGACTCAAAATGTCAAATTAAATCGCCATCTGCCTTTCTGTCTTCGAAAGATCACACGTCATGGGGGCTGTAACTTTAAACTGTTCCTTGAAGGTGGAAACTTCAAAGGCAACTTGCTCAGTTAAAAGTGTCATAGCTCACCTGTTCCTAGCCCCTCCATGCCTGGGATGTCATCTCCAAACCTGTGTAAAAAATAGATGAGTAGAAGAGATATTAGCTGAGACCAGAGGAGAGGGGCCCGAAAACTCCTCACTCAAAGAAGAAGTCTTAAGTGTTTTATTTGAGAGATTTTGTCCACATTGAACTAGATCCAAGATGTCACTCTGGTGGGGGGTGGGAGCTTGTATCACAATAGAGAGTGGGTGTTCTTTCCCTCTAGAGACAGCATGAGATAAGAGGATGATGCCCTCAAACCTGAATTATTGATTGTTCTGCATCACCATTGTTCTGGGAGTACAGGCACGAGCTCCCGAACCCAGTTGATGCAGCGCTGGGAGCTGAACAGAGGGGGCTGTCTTTAAACCAGGCAGACCAACACCCGACCAACTAACCCCAAGTTTCATATAAAAATTTTTATTTTGGCATGTCTGTGTGTGTGTATGTGTGTGTGTGTGTCTGCTTGTGTCCGGGTGTGTGTATCTGCATGTATGTATGTGTCTGTGTGTCTGCTTGTATATCTGTGTGTGTGTCTGCATGTGTCTATGTATGTGTGTATGTGTGTCTGCTGGTGTCTCTCCCTGCGTGTGACTGCATGTGTATATGTGTGTCTGCGTGCATGTGTCTAACTGTCTGCTGTGTCTCTGTGTGTGGGTCTGCATGTGTATGTGTGTGTCTGCGTCTGTGTGTCTGCTTGTGTCTGTGGTACGTGTGTATGTATGTATCTGTGTATGTCTGCATCTGTTTGTGTCTAAGTATGTGTATATGTGTCTGCTTGTGTGTGTGTGTGTCTGCATCTGTGTATATGCTTGTGTATGTGGAGGTCAAACAATAACTTTGTGGTGTCAGGTCTCTGTTTCCACCTTTCTGTGGGTGGGCCCTAGAGTTTGAGCTTTGAACACCTGGATTGCCTAGTAAGTGCATTTACCAACAGAACCATCCCACAAGTCCTCAATCTCCTTTTATATACATATACATACATATACATATACATATACATATACATATACATATACATATACA